TGAGAGATAAGAACAGAGTCGGACTTGTTTCCGTACCTGTGCGAGAATTTATTAGAGGAACAAATCAAATTTGCATTACAGCTTGAACTTGTACGAGCTAATCAAAAAGAACAATTATCAAGGATTCAGCCTGAGCCTGATCCGTCGTTTCGCCAACTCTCTAATTAGTTGCCTGAGACTGCTCTACCGAGAGAACATCATTCACTGCGACTTGAAACCGGTGAGTAACGTCAAGAAGAGCTCGCGCACAGTCATCTTTTATTCTCGTTAATCCAGAGTGTCGTATCTCATACACATTGTCTCATTGTTACAGGAAAATGTGCTGTTGAAACAACGGGGGAGCAGCTCGATTAAAGTCATCGATTTCGGCTCGTCGTGTTACAGCCACCAACGCGTTTACACGTACATACAGTCGAGGTTCTACAGGAGTCCGGAAGTGATTCTCGGTCTTACCTACGGTCCACCGATCGATATGTGGAGTCTGGGCTGTATCTTAGCCGAGCTGTACACAGGGTATCCGCTGTTTCCGGGCGAGGATGAGATAGAACAACTTGCCTGTATAATGGAGGTCCTCGGTCTGCCACCGGAGCACATTATCAATCATGCCTCTCGTCGCAGGCTCTTCTTCGGTAAGTTATTAATATCCGCGAGTACTCTTGGAAACTCTTGGGAGGACCACAAAAGAGTCCCCGCAAAGAGTAAAAATAGAAGAGGGCGTGCCGCGCCCTCACTAGTAGTACTCAAAGAACCGGATTTAAAATAATTGCAGATCAGAAGGGAAGTCCGCGATGCGTGACAAACAGCAAGGGCAAGAAGAGATGGGCAGGTAGCAAGAATCTCTCAATGGCGCTTCGGTGCTCCGACATGCTCTTCGTAAACTTCGTTAGCAGATGCCTCGAGTAAGTTTCCTTACAATATGTTGCATTATATTCTGGCGTGGATTTATTATTCGAAAATTCTATTATGCATCGACAAAATCGATTTATGATATCTTTGAAAATTCAAAGTTTTTACTTGATGAATAATTTTATGGAAACCCAGAAGGAGGTGGAAGGGCTTTCACAATAATTAACCTTTCGTTGCAATGTAAAATATTCATCCTTTGTTCGTAATTTGGGTCTTTGAATTTTAGTATAGATTTCCGCATTGCGCTCCGGACTGTATAAGAATCTGAAAAAATTCTTAAATACTTGTGAAAGCTTCAGCAATAGAAGGATTGTCAGAAGGATTGTATTTTACTTATTTTTTCGAAATTTAAATTTATCAGAATTCATAATAAAAAAATCGGCTATGTCTTTAAAAGTCCAACATTGCTGGCGGAGGGTGGTTACTAATAGAGAGGGCTGCTTCACAAAGCAGTTTTTTTTATCTTGAATCTTACGAAATCCCTATTCGTGAACTTTATATATGATTAATACTACCAGGTGGGATCCAAAGAAGCGTATGACCCCCGACGAGGCGATGCGTCACGAGTGGTTGACTTCGTCGTCGTCTTCGCACTTGAGCTCCTCTTCATCGGCGATAACTTCATCGACAGTAAACGCGAGCGCGAATACGACAACAACGAGCGTCGAGACGCCGCGGGAATCCGCACACGCTCCACAGACAGTGAGCGTGACTGTGAGCGCACCGCGACAACGGGCAACGACGATGGAGGATCCACCGTACACGATGTACCGATTATATAAAGGTCGCAAGTATGTACAGAAGGTCTCTACAGGTACCGACGGCACCGACAACGGTGGTGGCTTGATGGTGAAGAGCAAGCTGAACGGTAGTGCGAGCAGTCACGCCCTGGCGAGCAGCACGCAGACAGCGACGTCGAGGCACGCATCGACCGGCGACATCGTTGCGAGCCTAGATCCGAATCTCGATGACTCAGGCACGTTCCTGCCGCCGATATTGTGAAGTCGGGTTTGCGCCAGCCATTTCTAAACGGGCTATTCGCGTATCGGCGCGATCAGCAGACTCGCTCTTTTGCACTTTGATGCGGGACGTACGTAGATGCGTATCACTTGACATATGTCAAGAGCGAGTAACAATTAATAAAAGACGCGTATAGAACTGGCTGGCCGGTCCGACGTTCTCGATGCCAAAACGGCTAATTAATTAAACGCAGAGTCGCTAGTCTCGGCATGTATCGAGCTATGAGGCCAAAATGACGATCTGACGACGGGAGAAGAGCGCGTAGGCATGACGAGCGATATAGCAATCGCGTGATCGATTCGCACTCCCGGGGACTCTGGCGATCTAATATCACTCAGGTAATCGTAAACGAACTCGCGCGCGCGCGCGCGCGCATTATCGTAGTTATTCGCGGAAAATATAGACCTGTTGCATACGATGAGAATACTAGCAATCGTTAGTGTATACCAATTACATATTTCGACACATGGACCATCGTACCTATTTGGTCCGAATGTTGTTTATCTCACGCCTATATGAAGTTCACGATTAACAGGTGATGAAATCTCGGCCGTAGGTAGTAAAAAAAATTACAATTGAAATTATAATTGAAAGTTCGAATAGAATGCGTAGTTTGCCTTGCTGTCTGAGCTGTGAGGCAGACGATTCATCATCGTCGACATGTTGCATTTTCGACGGTAAAAAAAAGCTCGCATATGTGAATGCAATCGGAAGATATGCCGTACAGTAGCATCATATTTTAGATAACTACGCGAGTGCAAGCGGCGCGATATCCGTATCGTGGCAACGACGTACGAGATAGAGAAGCGAGGAGCTTAAGTAAAGCACATTATGATCAAACAACGATTCGTCCGACATTACGTGTAACGTCGGAGATTACCATCGAATTACGGTCGCGCCGAGAAGACCTGAGTCGTTTGAGACCTGTGTCGTCAACACAGGGTCGCGCGATTAATAACGAAGCGTCAAGGCGAATAGTAACATTTAATACATGAAGCGTGCCCCAGTTTAACGAGGCCTGAGTAGTCTTATTGTGATATTAAACTACCACTGTCTTACTTAGATCTCTCTGATATTAAGAAGTAACGATCGCTAATATAATAATTTCAATTTACTATTAATCATTATTTTCTTATTATCTGTAATAATCGCTATATCGCTACTATTACCGCAAAGATATAGCGGCATATAAGTAACGAAGATTATCATCGATATAATGACAGAGTTAACACTACTTATATACGTAGGATGTACAGATTTTAATTACACGTTTTTGAAGTCCCGAAACAGCAGCAACATGCTGGTTCGCTTACTATGGAATACGTAAAAAAAAAGAAAAAAAAGAAAAAAAAAAAAGAAACAGTCCGATAATTTTCGGACATTTTCAATGAATTTTTAGTGATTCCTTATTATACCCGCTCTTCTATTCATCATTAATTGTCTGCGCGCGACGTAACGCATGCTTTATTACGTCGAAATTGATTAATTTTGATTAACACCCCGTGAGATTCCTCTCCGCCTTCAAGGTACTATCTATTTACATATTGTTCATAATTTCCTGGCATTAATTAAAGCGATTTATATAATTTTGACGCGCCCTTTCGGAACCATCACGAGCATTTCGCGATATGCAGAGGATTTGACAAAAAAAAACAAACCTATTGTATAGTATTATAATGTTAGGCTACTTTTAGACTTGGTAATTGTTCGATGTGCCCGTACCCATTCTAAAGTTTCGCAAGACACGAGCTGGTAATAATTATATCATTATGACGTTAGAAATGTGAGACGCGTCACGCTCCACCGTTTGCTGCTTTCGAGCTTCCACCACGGAACATTATATCTTCCGTTTTTGCATGCTTCTCTAATTCTCAAAGGTCCTATTATACGTACGAAACCATCGGAGGCCCTACTAAAACTGTAATCTGTGTTTCATTGTCGCGGCCGAAAATTGCAGATATGTGAGAATACTCTCGCAAATTATGAATCGCGTCACAAGAGACTGAAATGAATCATTATTTTATATTGCTAACGGAAACATGGCGAAATTGTTCCTAATGTTCGTTCTGCAAATCGATATGTCGCCTCACTTTTATTACACTTTTAGCGAACTTGTCGAATTCTTTTGTGAAGCATACACTGTTTAATTTTTGCGGAAAGTTATCTCGAACGTCTCACGATAATCGAAACGAATAATAAACTTGCCGTCACACAAACGGTCTCACTTTAGCCCAAGAATTTTTAGGACAATTAATATCGTACCAATCGTAGTAGTATCGCGCGACATAATCGGTGAATGGCCAATAAACGCGAGCGGATGTATATTATAATATTAAGAATTACATATATAAATATATTATTCGTATGCGGCTAATCTGCCCGAACGAACGACTGACGAAGTAGCGCATATTATATGATATATGATACACGATTCTTACAACTTGTGGCGGGTTCGTAGCAGTCACTCTCGAGTAATCAACGTCAACGTAATGACAATTATCACGAAGTGATCTTGGGTAAGCATTTCGTTCGATTGCTCCAAACGATAAAAAGAAAAGAGGAGAAAAAGAAAATTTGACGAAGATGATGTCTATGAGGCGACGATTTCTAGGGAACGAGAGAGATATATCAAATTCTGTATAAAATAAAGACGTGACTGCGTATGTACGTGTATGTGCGTGTATGCAAAAGAGTGAGAAAGAGAAAGTGTGGCGTATGATTATGTGCACACATATATCTATTGCATAAATATATAATACCATTATACACATGAGCTGCGATAATGCGCAAGGGCAAAAACGAGTTAAGTCTAGGATACGAGGATAGAGGACAATTAGAAGAAGTGCGTTCACAAAGAACACGCGCGACTACGGAATCCCTGCCCCGCCACCTCTTAAAAAAAAGAAAAAAAAAGAAAGAAAAAAAAAACAAAACACCGTTCAATTGTACAGTCTTAAGTTTTTAGTTGTGTTCACTATTGTATACAGACAGCGGGATCAAATTATACTATCTGTATCAACGGGACGGTTGTATAATCTGTGTGACGTGCATCATCACTTGTACAGACCAATATATACACACTCGGTACGCGTGTGACGCGCGTACGTCTAAAGAAACATACGAGAAGCATGTTCGTACTGCGAAAAATACACGCTAGTGAATCGGTTTAGCTGGTGTCGGTTACGGTCTCGACTCAAACCGGGTCTTTGTCTTCTGGAAAGGACAGAGGGATCGCTTAAACTATGAATTAAAGACCCGATATCGTCAAAGCTGGAACTAAAAGAAAGAGGCAGGGCATGTATTGTTTCAACATCATCCGTGAAACAGCGAAACTCCGCGGAAATCCATGTCCTTCCGACTGAAAACTACTCGACTTCGCACCTGGTCAATTCATCGTTCGCGAATGAATAGTCGTTGCGTACGCCGCGATTTCTCCATACGGCGCGGACGGAAAAGGGAGACAGTCGCTTTTTCTAGTCCAGGATGTAATGAACGTGCTCCGAACGTACGTACACACACACACACACACACACACACACACACACACACACACACACACACACACACACACACACACACACACACACCTCACTTGAACGCGATGGAGAGAAGAAAAAGAGAGAAAGAAAGAGAAGAGTTCCCTCTGACTTCAATGAAGGAATGCTCCGCGCGGCGTATACCCGTTAAGTCAGTGTGCAACTAATTAACGAATTTTAACGACGCGATTAGACATTATCGAATTAAATTAAGTATAATGCGTGTGCGTGCGTGACCCTTCTCCCCTTCCCGCAAACGCGTCCGTTGAAGAGGCCTCTGCGAGGCGGTTATTGCGAAGAACCATCGTTGCGACGGCCGAGCCTCGTAGATCATCCTAGTAGGACAATCATAGAGTTACGCGTTTGTATTAAACGCGCTAGTAAGTTTTCATTAGATGATAGAGACGCAAGTAACGAGGGATTATCTCTCGTTTGAGAAGCTCGCTAATAAAATGATCCCGTGGGCGTGACGGAGGATCGTTTAGATTATTAAACGATGGTCACGCACGCGCTTCGCTCTTCTAAGCCCTAAGAGGAGCTCTCGGTATGCGAATCCTCACGGAAGTGAGAATATTTCACAAGCACGGAGAGAAGCGCAGGAAGAAACGATTCCGATAAAAAATGTGGGAGCGAGGGTTCATAGAGTGATTTGTAATCTGGCGTTCAATTGCGGATGCTTGTTATAAACGTATAAGTGCGAGTTCGTCAATTTCTGCCCAGACTTAACTATAGCAAACAAGAGAATTGCTAATAAATGATTATTATGACACACATACACCCACACACACACCCATACACACACACACACACACACACACACACACACACACACACACACACACACACACACACACACTGATACGATACTGAAGCATCATCATCTTTTGTATCATTTGTTCGTTTGTTTTTATCTTACTGCGTTTGTCTTTCATTAATAATGCAATACCAAGATCACTCGGTTTCGACTCGGTATCTTGTGTGTAAATATATAACTAATAAAAAAATATGTATACAAATGCAACGAGAAAGTACGTTTTCTTGACGCGTATCTTCCTTACATGAATTCCTTTTCTCCTCCATATTCGATGATGTTAAATACCAAATGTCTGCGATTTAAATAGTTTATTTTTAACATACTCGTATTAAATACACCATATGTATAAGATAAAACGCAATATACTAAGCATATCGATGAGTAAAAGGTGTGTCGATATTCAGAACCATTATTTATTGATAAACGACGAATATTTCACTGCTAATTTTAATTAGTGAGAGAATGATGAGAGTTCTGAATACAACACTACAAAGCTAAACGTGAGTAGAGAACAAAAAAGATTGAATAAGTAACGAACTTATAAAAAAAAAAAAAAGAATGTTTTAGACAGACAGAAGGCACAGGATGATTTAACATACATGTACTGCTTTTTGATATATGCATTCGTACTGAATCTGAATTCGTCTTCTAACGACAGATGGATGCTACACACATAGTCTTCTAATGAAAATATAAGGTCGATGATACTGGTTTAAATAACTGTCGGAGATCGTTGCATGCACGACAATATAGATAGACATACATGAATACCACAGCATATATGTAATCTCAAAGTAAGTCTCCCAACGCTTTTGTTTCGATGCTACCTCCGCCTTTCTCCCTTTTGAGTTTTTCTCTTCTCCTTTTTCTCTTCTTTTAATTGTTTTTGCTTCTCTCTAAAATATAAAATTATTTTAAGTTTCACATATTCAACGCTTTTAAATTCATATCAGACTACAAATGGAAGATTGAGGATCGCAAATTGAAGATTAGAATTAAACTAGATAATTTTAATTGTAATCTATTTTGTTCTAATGGGTCGAATTTAAAAAACTATAACAAAGTCAGGTCACAAGTGATTTTGTCAGAACTTTATGAGAGAAAAAGATATATATATATCCTGTTTCTATCAATGCAGATTAACCTGAATCTTAATTTAATTTACTTTCTAATGTCCGTTTCTATTATGTAGTTAATTTTAATCTTGATTCAACAAATTACATCTTTTTCTAGTTTTAAGAATCAAAAAAAGATGAAGAGTAAGTTGAACGGAGATTAAAGTTAATCTACATTGGTAGAAATGGGCATAATTCTGAGAATTAGAAAAGGATAAAGAGTAAATTAAGTTTGATCTAGAAATGGATATTATCCAGTTGAATTCTGTTCTCCAATTCGCAATCTTTGATATAGTTCGAGAGCTTCTACCTGTCTTCCTTGTCCTTTTCCTTTTTCTTCTGACTCTCCAGTTTGGCCTTTTCTCTTTTTTCTCTTTCCTGCTGTATAATGGTAGCCGCGTTCAAATTCTTTTCGATTCCACAGTCTCCACCACCTGCTCCATCCTCTTCTCCATCTCCTTCGCTATTGTCTTCATCAGACATTTGACTGTATTGTGCTAGTATAGCCTCCCGTATTCGTCTCTCTTCCTCTGTATAGCTCCTCTGGGTTGTTGTGGGTAGACTCTGCGACTCCAGCATTTTTGCCAGTCTAACATCAACGTCTTCCATCGGTGCAGGTGCTGCGGCGACTTCCTCAGTTGGCAACCATTCTGCCCACGCGCTTAAGATTTCTGCTACATGTTTGCTGATGTTATCCTCCTGCAAAGGAAAAATCAAAACTCTATATCTCTATACTCTCTAAGCTCTTTAAATTAAAATCTCACTCTTCAACAGTAAAAATTAAATTGATCTTGAAAACGAACGGCTTAATTTTCAATCCTTAAGAGTGGATAATTCGCTCTTCAGAGAGATTCACTCTTAAAAGTTTTAAAGCGTAAGAAGCATTACATAATTTCGCGCAAGGATAAAAATGTATGTTCATGGCACGTTGAAGCGAATGAAAAACCGCGAGAATTTAAAGTTTCATAAAAAATCAATATATGGAGTCAACGTCAGCGTTCAATAACTCTTATTTTTGATCCCTGATGGGTCTATCCGTGCTCTCCTGGTGAACGAAAACGATAGACAGTTACACCGTGGAATGAATCGAGCGGGATTCGCGCGCTCACAGGTAAGACTCGCTGGAGAGAAGCATATGGGAGACGTAGACACGTACTTTCGGAGCACGAGTGACGAGCTCGCGGCTATTTCCGACCGGCTGACGACCGCGGCGGCCGCGCGTATTCTAACCTCAACGTGAGCAGCGCTTATCAACTACTCACCGTTATACCCGCGAGTATGCTCTCGAGCGCCTCGGTCTTCTCGTCCTCGGTTTCGTCACCTTCGAGGATGCCTTTGATGTACGTGCCAAAGACACCCTCGTCCGTATTGAGCGCCTGCAGCTTCCTGCTGAGCCAGGCGTCGAAGGAGCTCGCCGTGACCGCCATCACTCGTGCCAGCTCCGGCGCTCACGCGGTTTTAATTTCACCGGTCGCCTCTTCGCGCGCTCCGACTGTCGTAGGAAGAAAGGAAGGAAGGATGCAGCGTCGCCCCGATGACACTTGATCGTCCGAGCAGTCACATCTTTCGACACTGGACGCGACAAGCCGGCGAATGGACCCGGTCATCTCCACGAAGGCGTGGACATCGTCGCACCGGAGCTCAGACTTTATCCGTTTCTATGGCACTGATCTCGACGTGCGTAAAGTAAACGTATATGTCACGCGTGCTGTTACACACGACGTCGTGAATGCCGCACCGTTTTCTGGAGCGCATTTCCGGAGTATGCGCACCTTGATACTAAAACTAAACGCATCGCAACTGCGCGAGCGTGTATTGTGCCATAGTACGGCGTCGTAGATTTTTTTCATGCCAGAACGTGAAAGAGAATTTACAGTAGCTAAAGGCTTTAGAATTATAATTCGTACGTGATGTAGGAAATAAACGACTCTTACCAAATTTTCATCAGCTTGAATACTATAATTTGTCGAATAACAATATCAATTTGTCGAATATAATACTTATTATATTTCATTAATTTAGAATTAATTATTTTCTGTTGTTTGGACAGAAAAACTTGGATGAAGATTGCATTCAACAGAGAACGCAGTTTTGCAACTGTTGTAAAATTCTTTGATTAATTTATACATCTAGATTCAGTAAGGAATTAAGAATAAGAAAAAATGTATTTAAAAAAATGAATTTATCAATTTGTATGAAGCTGATGAATTTTAAAGATCATCGATCTGTTGCTTATTGAAATCGCTATTAAAAATTATTGAGGATCTATTTAAATAAACTTGCGCAGCTGCAATAATGTATGTAAACAGAAAAATTGACAAGTTAAAAAGGTTGCCATGAAAACCCATACAAACCTCCAAAAAACATCCTAAAGATTTCCAAGAAGACGTCCTGCGTCAAAGGAACGTTCCCAGGACATCCTTTGAACAAAATGTGCTGCAAGAAGATGCTATAAAAGAAAAAAAAAGTAAAAGCATGTCATATTGTTCATTTTTTCCATATTAGATGCAAATTTATTATGCAAATCTACTATGCGAGGTTACAATAGAATTAAGTCGTAGCGGTCGTAGGGTCTTAAGTCGTAGAAAATTGACCAATCATAGTCGATTATTCTTCTCATATTCGACTGTAATTGATTAATTTTCTACGACTTAAGACGCTACGACTTCTATTGTAGACCCCGCATTATGTATAAATCTTTGGTTATGCCCTTTTGAAGATAAAAAAAAAGAATTAAACGATTCAACTTCAAAGCTACCGCGTTTATCGTCAGATGATCGCGCTCGTGTGCCAATTGCCAACTTCACACCGATCGCAGCGACCCGGCGCGGCACAGTGCGGTAGTGTTTCCTGCTACTTCTCAGATGTATCGTTCTTTTCGTTGTCACGGACGTATTTAGCATAAAATATGAACGTGATCGCGAAATCGACAAATCTCTCGCCGTTCCTGCGGGCGACGGCGACTGTCGTCTCAAATGGAGGAATGCCTGTGGCCGCGACTGGTAAAGTTACCAAAGCGAAGGTTACCGTTCCCGAATCCTTTAGACGGAGACTCCAACAGACTGTCTATCAGGATCTTCTTACCGGACCTACGTACATAAGCTCGGGAGTCGCAGGTGCGTCCGCATTATCAGCCTATTCTACGCCACGAATATTCCGTGAATTCGTGTTCTTTTACAATAAATCACGCCGATATTCACGCTATTCGCGATTATATAATCGATATGCAAAGTCGCACACTTTGCAGATTGCTGCGCTATCAATTGAGCTTAGACCCCGTTGTACCAACGTTATTTTGGCTTTAAGCGAGACTTGTATCTGTCTTTATCCTTCTTTCTAAATAAATTAACACAGACTATATTTAGATTTTACTTAAAACCAAAATTAGTGCAATTGGGCCTTAGGCTTATAAATCCAGACAACATGCATTACCTAGAAAACGTCTTTATCTTTATGACGTCTTTTAGACATGCATATTATCTGGAAAGTTGCTCTAAAATAACTGTTATAAATATAAATTTATAGATGAAAATCTACAGAAGATCTTGATAGGTTTCCCCTCTATTTCCTCCCCCCTCCCCTTCCCCTTCTGTTCAACCTGAAACAATAATGTAAAACCCATGTTTCGATATATGCTACCAGTACTGGAATCTTTAGTTTACGTATATAGATTTTTAGTACTGACACTATCGAAAAAGTCAAAAGCCGGTACTCATAGTCGATTCTTATATTTGAGACTGTCTTAAGCATGATCAGATGGCTGTATTAGCATCTCAAGACTTTACTTAAGTTAATCTTAAAATAAAAACAGACTATAAATACCACCCACAGTCTATTCTTTTTATGCCTGTTTCTATTAATGTAGTTTAATTTTAATCTTGATTGAACTAACTCTTCATCTTTTTCTAGTTCTGAGAATTAGAAAACTATAAAGAATAAGTTGAACCGAAATTGAAGTTATCCTATATTAGTAGAAACAAGCATCAACTGACCTTCTTGCACATTCACATCTTGCAGTTCATTTTTTTTTCTTTTTCACATTGGAGAAAAAAAGAGAAAAAAATGAACAGTATGTACATATATAAAAAGTTCAACTAAAAACAACATCTATAATCTGGATTTATGTTGCTGCAGTCAGCACACAGGTACATCAGCGACGTTTGGCACATACCGACATTCAGTGGCCAGATTTCACCGATTATCGTCAACCTGCAACACAAGATCCATATTCCAAATCACGAGACAGTGCGTCATCCCGAAAGGGTATCTCCTATCTTATTGCAGCTGGTAAGTACAAAGAGATTATAGTTGATACATTATAAATATGAACTGTAATCTAAAACGTCTTCGATTTTGTGCATCTAGGTAGTTCTGTGGCAGGAGTTTATAGTGCAAAAGTAGTAGTGCACAACATGGTTGGCATGCTGAGCGCAACGGCTGATGTACTTGCCATGTCGAAAATCGAGATAAAGCTCGACAGTATTCCTGAGGGCAAGAGCGCTATCTTCAAATGGCGTGGAAAGCCTCTGTTTATACGACACAGGTAATTCAGGATAGTTGAAAATTTATTGCGTAAAGCCTGTATCAAACTATAGATTAAGATTGAAATTGGATTTGATCAGTTGAAGCACAGTTCATTAAACTTGATATTAGTTTTCTTTACTCTGATTGATTAAATTCCAATCCAATCTCAATTCCAGAGTGCTTTTCAGTAAAAGAGGTAGTGTAAGATTAATATTACATTTGTCCTACGACAAAATTTTTAAGCGTATTAATTTGCTGAAGGAGATTCTCGGATATCTCTATCCTATAGCCAATCAACAGGCTTGAAAAATTTGTCGTACGACAAATGTAATATCAGCCTAATCATTATATATTGCTATTTGCCAATGTTAAACAGAGATAAAATGATTCATTCTGTTAAGCTTAATACATAATTGAAAATAACAAATATCAATTTATTAGAAAGTACTATAGTATGATTTCTGATAGGTTAAAATCTGTTATTGTCTGTGCTTTCCAATTGTTTCTCAGATTTAAGAAAAAAAAAATGTTTGTGTTTAATGTAAGTATGGTATTATATTCATGGGAATTTATAGAATTGACTCAGAAATCGCAACGGAAAATAAAGTGAACGTTGCGAGTCTCCGCGATCCGGAAGAGGACAGCGCTCGCGTGAAGGATCCCAAGTGGTTGGTCATTATAGGCGTTTGCACACATTTGGGATGTGTACCCATCGCTAATGCGGGAGATTTCGGCGGTTACTATTGCCCGTGCCACGGGTCTCACTACGATGCCAGCGGTAGGATTCGAAAAGGACCGGCCCCGCTAAATCTCGAGGTACCACCCTATGAGTTTACCGAGGGTGGAACAGTGCTCGTTGTTGGTTAATGACTATTTGCGTTATCTGTAGTCAAATAATAAAATAATTTATAATATAGAATACTCCGTGGGTATGTGTATTATCTTGTTATTATCGCGAAAAAGATCAGAGAAATATGTTTTGTATATTTCTTGAAATTTAATGAAGAACCTTCATTTGAACATTGCAAAATTATTCGAATATTTCGAACGTAACAGCGTGACTGCTGTATCGGATTCAGAATAAACGTTAAGTGAAAAAAAATCTTTATGAAGATTAATTGCTCAATTTTACTGACATTTATAGAAACTCTTACAGAAATTTAAATACTTGGAAGGTAGTGATTAATTATTTGTTCTGAGTTAAGAGATGAGATGCGAGACGTATAACTAATAGAATTCGCGAAGCTCATTGAACGGTTATCATCGATCGGAATACTGTGATGTATTCGAAATGCGATTGATTCGAATAATTTCTAAATTTAGGACTTATGCGCAGGTAAACATTGAATCTTAAAAATATAATCTTTAAAATAGCATTCAATAACAAACATCTTCAAAGAGGATTGTAGTATTGAAGTATTGTCGTTGTTTTCAATACTCAAAATAAGTAATTAATCACTACCTTTCTGTATTAAATTAGCCAGTAATTCTTAGTACACACGATTGAATCATTTGTGTCATGGACACTTCTTTTCTTTGAAAAACTAGGAGCATTAAGTAATTAGTTTTTATTTATATACAATTTTTAAAAATATACAACCTTATAAATAAATTCCAAAGATGTTAAAACATATACATAAGAATGTCTCTCTCATTTAATAATTATATTTTTATATTTTTATATTGTGTTAAAGTAATGAAGGTTAATTCGGGGCACAAATGACCCATCATGTTGGTAAAAGAAAATCATGTGTTGTACTAAGAGTTAAATTAAATATCTGTAAAACGATATATACAATGAGCTTTTAAAGTGTAAAACTTAAGCTTTAAATCCTAAGCCATAAGAAATTAATCAATAACAGTTGATTATTCTTCTCATATTCGATTGCGATTGGTCAATTTCTCGGCTTAAAGCTTAAATTTAACACTTAAAAATCTCATTGTAGACACCGTTTAATGCCCATTTCTATTAATGTTGTTTAATTTTAATCTTGATTATTGAACTATCTCTTCATCTTTTTGTAGTTTCAAAAATTAGAAAAAGATAAAGTGCAAGTTGAATCGAAATTAATTAAGTTTATTTACATTGGTAGAAATGGACGTAAGGGATGCTTGCATTATATAACTTTCTAGAAAAACGAATTAATTGTATCAACCACGAGCACAAGACTCGTCGAATCCGCCACTTAGCTTCGGAAGCATCGTGTAATCTATGCGATCACACATCCCTCTGCCTCGTGATATGACTGAGGGTAGGGGGTTGTGGAGTGATACCGCTGCTTCCGCGAGGAGGCGCCAGCGATCGGCGGCACGGCCGAAATCCCCGGCGCGAGGCGACAATCGTCATCGCAATCGCCGGGCGATCGCTGCCGGTTTCACCTCGATCGCCCTCGTCGCTGCTGGCAGCGTACGGACGAGAGAAATCGCGCGCGGCGTGATCAATAGTCATTATCGCTCGGTCGTGTTCGTGACATTTAAGAGTTTCGAGTAGCCGCCGGTATTAGGCCGGCCGGCGCATAGCGGCGTTCGCCGCCGCTGATTGTACTTGTCGTCGTCACCGGATATATATTACGTATACAACACATATATTACATACGCGCGCGCTTTAACCCCCTCGCCAACCAGCTGACTCTCCTACTCTCCATCTCTCTTCTGTCTCACTCTTCTCCCGGAACTGACACTCGGAACCGCCGCCGGCGGAGCATCGCCGACGATGTATTGTCCGGTCGCGCGCCGTCAGCGAGCCGTGCCGCTTCGTCGCGTCGAAAGGGTTGAAAGCCGAGAGTAGGAAAAGGTCGTCGTCGCGGGAACAAGCGAGAAGAAAACGCAAGGAAGCGCGCCCCAATTGCCGGTGAGTAGCACGTATCGCAACGTATCGTTAAGAGCGACTTCTTTGTATCGTTTATCGAATTTAGTGATCATTTTTTTTTTCTCGAAACGTATGCGTATCATGTAATTAGCATTGATAAGTAAATGACAATTCGACGATACAAAAGACTCGCTATTAATGGACACGTCTAATATATTTCAGAAAAATACAAATGCCAATTAGAGCCAACAGTAGGTGTATGCGAATTTAAATTCTTTATTAAATAACAAATGAAGACGGTTCTACTCCTCGATTTTGGGTCATTCTCAATAATTAACAAAAACAAAACCTTAATTACAATATGAAGATTAAAGAGAATATCGCAGTGAAATACATTAAAATCGAGCAAGTCACGTTAAGATACAATAATTGAGGATGACTCAAAAGCGAGGGGGGGGGGGGGGAATTGAAACGTTTTTAATTTGGTATTTAACAAAAAATTTGAATTCGCACGCAAATACCCCGTGTTGGTTCTAATTGTACTTTTGTAATTTTTTCTAGAGCCTTTTATTATTCTCATTCTATATTTCTCGTAATATATTTCTCATCGATGATTCAGATTATTTGTATAGGAGTTCATTTTGATATTTAAACGCATAACGCGATTTGAATAACATCTGTTTTTTTGAATACTCGAACGTCACGTCACGCGACAAGCAGGAGGCATCTTACATGTATCTTTCAGATGAATATATTCCTCGAAACGTAATAAGTTTTCGAGCGATTTGTACACGGATTTCATTTCTAATTCAATTTAACGCGGCATCCTTCATACCAGAAACGGTTGCTCCAGCTTATGCGACTTTCCACGATGTCGAAATAAACTTCTCGTTTCGTCCCAGAGAAAGTCTCTCTTTTTTTTTTCCTTCGCGATGCCACGGAACATAGCTTAGGTCGCTCCGCGGTGTTGATCGCATTCTTTCCCGTGGAATTTCATGCATGTCCCGAAAGTCGATAAGCACAATGCCGCTGCGTTGACAATAACAATAATCGCGAAAGCGATAATAACGATCGACAGACGATGTTTTTCTCGTTTGCGCTTTTGCAATAGTATTAAGTTTACTAGATGAGAAATACAGGCAAATAGAAGTGAAGCGCGATAAATAGAACGCAATTAATCTTACAATGTTTAAATTGTAATACTTAATTACAATGTACAAATTTTAATACTTAAACAATAGTAATTGTTACACATACTTAAACAATAGTAATTGTTTAACACATTCAAAAACAACGTTTCGTTTGACTCCTATTACCTTGAATTATTTTCTTATTTGTGTTTGAATCAAAGGAAGTCTTCTAATACTTAACGTTTTAGATTAAATTATCTCATTATCGTCACACATAGAGTTCGATTGTTTTGTAGATATTAAGTTTGTTCTTTACTTGCCAGGAGTTTTATTAATTAATTAAATTTTTCGCATTTCGAAATAAAGACTTCTTCACAGTTTTTTTTTTTTTTGCAAAATGATGTTATCGCTAATTCTAAGGATTATTTTAAAGATTCAACATTTTTATATCCGGATGTTGTTAAGCTGAGTTTGGAAATTGTTTTTGGAAGAAACGATTTTTTGCTGAAATATCTAAAATTTAAATTACAGATCTGAAACAATTTTGTTGTTGATCTATCAAAAAATAATTATGTAGGAAATTCCAGCAGCAGAGCTGCAAAAAATTTTAATAACCAGCTTGAGCGCGTCCTACATAATTTTGATAGTCCAATAAAATTACTCCTGGGTCTGTACGTAATTTTTCAATATTTTAGCAAAGCATTCTTTTCTCTCGTGCATATTTCAAATACGGCACGCAATATCCGGATCGATGATAACCGTTCAATGAGCTCCGCGAATCATACGTCTCGCATCTCATCCCTTGTTTGGTAACACGGGCATCGGCATAAACTCGAGCCGGCATGTGTTTGTGTATCTGCACGCCTGGGTCATTCGATGATTTCCGTACACGTGAGCCGTGCTTTGCATCCCGGTAACGGTTCCAAAAGCAACCACCGCACCGCTGCTCTTCGCAACGCTTCGCGGCTTCGTGCGTGCGTTCTGACCTTTACATTTCTATTTATGTAAATAAAGACAAGATCGTCGTTTGTTCGAATACGCTGCGCAGCGAGCGACGCGTTGCATATTCAAAATTCACACGAGCAGTCGGACCAACGATCAGTGCAGACCTTGATCGGTTGTGTAATTAGGAATCGTAACGTTCCTTTTAACATGAAATGAGAAAAGACACTCTTAAGGTGGTGAGAAATAGTAATAACAATTCGCTAATTACGTCGAGAGCAACGTGTTGTTTTGTGAAAAAAAAAAAAAAAAAAACAATTAACATGCTCATCTCTCGTGGAGAAATTAAAGCCTGCGGCACACGATGCGTGTTTTCTCGTTGAATTGTTTGCGTTTTAATAAATTATTCGAAATTTCGTATATAATGTAATTCTAGTAATACACTAAACCCCAAGCTATCCAGCAGGTAAAAGAAAAAAACGCAGTATGCCGCGGGCTTAAAGTAGTAAACGTTAGATTGTCTCATTATCAATTATACATTATCGCGTAGAAAAATATTGGTAGAGATATGTAACGGGAAGTGTGAAAACAAACGTACGACGCGGCCGCACCGATTCGCGTGCACCGATATTTTTCTCCTATCGATCAATTGTCCGAACGCGTGCTCTTCTTTCGGCGATCTCTCCCTTCGTAACTTTGTTCTGGCGGAGACTGTACCCGTTGTTCGCAAAGACGATCGTTACCCACCCCGGGTGAGGATCTCCAAGAAAGTTGCAAGTGCAAAGGCTGAGCGGGCACGAGTTGCAATGCAAATGCCGTCGGGTTCCTGGCATTCTAATTCTTATGCGTCAGCGAGCGAGAAAACGCGGCCGAGAGTGCGGCGCGCGCGCACGGAAGAAGGGAGCCGCTGTCTTCTCTCGCAGGATCCAGTTTCCCTTTTTCGCTTTCTCTCTCTCTCTCTCTCTCTCTCTCTCTCTCTCTGTCTCGTCCTTTCTCCCTTTCTCTGTTTCTCCTCGCCTCCGACGGCGCAGGACGAGACTCTTTGCTGCTTTGTGCCCTGCATCTACCGAGCGCACTCGTTCTCCCTCGTGCGTACGCGTATGCGTGCGTGCGTGCGTGCGTGCGTGCGTGCGCGCACGCGAAATTGCGTGCGTCGTAACGAGAGAAAGAAAGACGGGGAGGAAGAGAAGGAGAGAATGAACCGAACCCCGCCGCAACACG